ACTTGTGAGAATCAAGCCAGCTACTAGCTACTAAAACCTTGTAGGTTTCCCAGTATGCGAACACCATAGACAGCTAGCTTATTGGTTCACCAATTGCTTACATGCAATTAGTACTAATGAAAACCGACTGTCTACTCTGGTGAAACCTGCCTAGTTGTAATATTTGTTCTTACATTGGCTAAGAGTGTTTGCCAGAGCTATTATTAGAAAGAGAAAGCACCCATGTGTTGTTTAGAATCCAGATATTGTTTATTCATTAATCAAGTAATCATTGATGTGGCATTGTGTTGTTTTAGCATACAAAGTTTGTAGCCGAAAAGGATTATGGCTGAACTGAAGGTTTAGGGCTGAATATTAGAGGTTGATGTTTAGAGATTAGGTTGAGATGAATATTTAGGAGGTCAAACAATAGATTTAAAGGTTACATTCAGATTTAGGGTTGGTTTTAGCAGTCAGGCTTAGGTTATGTATTAGGCAGGGCTGGACAAATCCCAGGTGCCAGGTAGCCAATGCTACTTAAAAATTACAGCTGGTGCCTAACTTTTGAGGATTTCTCTAGTTGTTGTCAATGTAGCTGATTCCTAAAAAAAAAAATCCTATTGGCTCCTGGATTTAACAGACTGCTTCCTAAATTTCATATTGGTTTGACCTTCTCTGGTTTAAGGTTTAGGTTGAAAGTAAGCGAGTTAAGTCTTGAAGTTAAGGGTTAGTTTAAGAGCTACATTGTTAGATTATGGTGATATTAAAGGTTGGATTATTGGGCTGGGGGGGAGCATTAGATTAATGGATTAGGGTTAAAGTTTCATTTGATGTTAAAGGAGAACTATGAGGTGAGTGCTTTTCACTCACCTCATAGTTCTAGCGGACCTGTGACAATGAGACTGTCACAGGTCGACTCAGTAGATCGGGAAGTGAGTGAACATATACCGGCGTTCGCTCACTTCTCGATCCTGTCACGGCTCTCTGCCGTGACAGGGGAGGGGCTGGATTCCCTCTTCCCGCTCCGATCCTCCAGCGCTGACTGGCGGAACGGACGGCGGTGGGGGTGGGTACAGCTGGCTCTGCCTCTAGATAGGCAGAGCCAGCTGTCACTCACGCAGCTGGGTGGATCCAGACAGCATTGCCGGGATCCGTTCCGGCTGCGGCGTCTCAGTATACCACGAGCTGTAGCTAGCGGTATACTGAGCTTAGGGTGACGGGAGAACGCTAGTTTGTGTCCTCCCGTTACCCTAAGGAGAACTATGGGGAAAAGCCCTAACCCCATAGTTCTCTTTTAAGGGTTAGGAATAGGGGCCAGTAGCAGGTTACCTATTACTGGTACGTAACTTAGTATTCAGTTTTTGGATGTTGTGATGTTTGGGGAATATAGCACAAATGGTGAGCGCTTAAAGTGACATTAAAGTCAAAAAAATGGTCCCCTCCCCCCAATGTTAATGTCAGCACTTACCTTAAATGATGTCTCTTATTCCGATCTTCCTCTTCTTTCCTGATGTTTTCATCTGTCCCTCCAGCGGTGCGGCGGCTCTACTATACAGCGTTGACTCCTCTCTGCTTGCTGGCACTTCTGATCCCACGGTGTCTGCATGCGGGTGCACGTGTCCATAGACTTACCTTGCATCTCTGCTTGTCTCCCGGCCGAGAATCCAAACTGCGCATGCGCCCGCCCCAAGATGCTTTGCGGCCACCCAAGCAGTTTCGGATTCTCGGGCGGGAGCGCGGCGAAAACAGGGTAAGTTTAAACCGATGTTAAAGCGGGTTTTTTTTTTTTTTTTACTTTTTGCCTATATCTACTGCTTGCTAGCAGTAGATATAGGCAAAGAAAACCGGAGGGTTTAGAACCCCTTTAAGGACCAGTCTTGAAGCCGTTTTAACAAAAAAAGGAGAGTCTTTTATTTCTCTTAGCAACACAACATGCAATCTGCTTGTATTTCAGGAAGTAGATAATATCTCACCAACTCAAGATTGTCACATATACTCCATGTGACTCTTCCACACATCCCTTGTGTGTCACAGGTTAACTAAGCCCCCTTGGTCACCTGACCTCAGGACTGGAGATTTCATCCCACCCTGAACTCTTAGAAATCTCCATAGATCCAGATCCCAGCTACAATCCGGAAACACCAGAAGAAACTGAAAGGCCAGCTTCTTCCCTCCAAAACTAATTATTTTCTGGAGCCTCTCAGCCCCTCTGATTGAGAGTCCTGGGTGTCTGTGTCGCCAGCTTACTCCATGGCATTGCCACGCACTGCCACAATATTCTACATTTTCTTTTTTCAGTTATGATAAACTTTTGCCAGAGTATCACATGACATACAGTGCATGCGTCAGAACTCGTAAAGGTGAAAAGTTACTCCTGTAACATTTTTAGATGCAAAGACTGTATGTGATGAAAAACTTTGACCTGATACTCCCACGCCAAGGATTACTGTACCAATTTCAAGAAGCTGCAAACAAGGGAACTCTTAGAGAAGCTTTGGTAATGCAAATACATTTGGCTATTTATAATTATTGCAAAAATAAGATACACGGGCAAAAAAGAGAACCTTTAGAAATTAGACAATTTTATGTTGAATACAATACCATGTATTCTTACCCAAAAAAGGAAGTACAAAGTGAGATTTTGCAATTGCACAGAATTCTATACTAACTCATGTGCATTTCTGGCTTGTAGACAAAGCAGTCGGATCAAACCAGGCACAGGCAGTCCTAGTCTGAGACTACAAACCTAATTTAGCTAGATACAGTAATATACAAAGCATAGTACTTTCCGTCATTAAATAAAGTGCCTACTCTGTTGGACATAACTAATGGATGATTCATTTCCTACCAGTGAGTGTGCCCTGGTTTATAATAGGCAGAGACAGCCCAGCAACATGCAGGATATGATTGATGGAAATCTGAAGCAGGGGAAAATAGGGCTACTATCTCCAAATAATAATCAGGTATTTGTTTTAAATTCATTGAATTTGCTAGAAAGAAAATTATGTAATGTGGTCTTTTTTGACAGTTGTCGTTAATCAGCCCTGTAGTTTTCTTACATACTGTAGTTCTCACAAGGCATAAGCTGTACTTTAGATACAACGGAAACTACAGTTGCTCCTCAAATAAGATATGGCAGTGATATGATGAGGAGGACCGATTAGGCTTAATGAGTCATAGTACAGTGTAAAAGAAACAGGCCATAGGTCAACTAGTTGATATGGAAGTGAAAGCAGGTTCTAGTCACTCCGGTCTGTTAGTGACCTAGCACTTTAATAGAGTCTGGAAACGTGTACTTCCATTAACAACAGTACAAAAATCTTTAACGTCATGCACTGCCTGTAATTTAATTTTTAGTTATTTCGAGGAACATGCATTTCAGTGGTGTTTTATAAACTACAAATCCCAGGATCTTGCAATGCCTAATGGGAGTTGTAGTTTCACCACAGCTGAAGGCCCAAGGTTTGGCTACCCCTGAATTATAGGATTATTATTTTTTATCCAAAGGCAGACCTGGCATTTTATGGCCCACAGGCCACATCCTGCCCTTTTACTGTCCCTGTCCGGCCTGCGGTCCAGACGTTGACCAATTGCTAGCCTGCACTAGGTTATGGCTGTGTGACAGTGGATGCACCCGTCTTCCAGGCCAATGCATCCACTGCAAGCCAAAGCCCAGTGCAGGTCCCCTTCTCTTCAGTTGTTAGTTGCTAGGCCTGTAGGCATCCTACCATACAAGATGCCAGGTGTCCACCACCTCTGCAGTCATTGATTGCTAAAACCACTGGCATCCTAGTAACCAATAATGTCAGGTGTCCAGTGACCAGTGACGTCGCCCCCAGCATTACAGGAGGATGTAAAAGTATCTTCTTCCATCCTTTCCTGCAGCCTGCTCTGGGGAAAATAATATAAAGGGGCACTCTAAAGGGGACAACCAATGTAAGGGGGCACCCTGGTGGTGACAAATAATGAGTTGTCCCCATTAGAGTGCCCCCTTACATTGGTTGTCCCCTTTATATTATTGTCCCCAGAGCAGGCTGCAGGAGACGATGGAAGAAGATACTCTTTCGTCTTCCCGTAATGGTATAATACCTTGGAGCTGAATATATTGTCATGGTGATGTGTATGCAATCCTTCTGCCAAGTGTTTCTGTAAAATCTATAACAAAATGAAATGATATGTTGCTATAAATATAACCTGAGTCATACACATCTTCTCGCCCCAACTCTTAGCAGCCTAGGATGCTCTGGCCGGCGTCCCGCCCAGCTCCTGGCAACCAGTGATGTGACTGCTTGCCAGGAGCTATGCGGGATGCCGGCAAGTGCGTCCCTGGTTGCTAAGAGCCAGGCTCTGTATATGTGTATCTGCGGAGCCTGCCGGGGGCGGTCTGCTCAAATGGATTGCACAGTATATGCACTGGGTCTAGGTGATATTACATACATGTCCCCTCCTGGGGTTCTGTACAGGCTGCGGAGATGTGTATTCAGGAGTGTATATGCTTGGGTACATGGTGTGAATTCAGTCACATAAGCTCTATTTGCTGTGGCTGGCTGTCTATAAAGCCGAAATCACAGCGGTGAGCCAGGAACGCTGACCTCTTAGCTGCTCATTACCGTCAGCGGAAAGCCTTCTGAGCAATAAAAGTCCTAAAATACTCTATAGTCCCAGAGGGGGTAAAAGTTATGTCTTGAAGAGGTAGCATCATCCAACAAGCGGAATTACAAAACTCTTTTGTGGCGCATAGCTGACATATAAACACTATATATGTTTCCAACCAAGGCTTCAAGTGTATGTCAAGCCAAACATTTTTTGTCTCCAGTTTTGGATAGTATAGGGAAGGATTAGATCAGGAGTAGACACTCCAGCTGCGGTGAAACTACAAATGCCAGCATGCATCTGCCTCTGGGAGTCATGGCTGTGGCTGTCAGAGTTTTGCAATGCCTCATGGGACTTGTAGTTTCACCACAGCTGGAAGGATGAAATTTGGCTACCTCCTGGATTAATCCAGCTTAAAAAAACAAAGACTTTAATACTACTTTATGACGAAATTAAAAAAAGAGTTTAAAAGTGAAACTAAATCAGAAAGAAGCACTGATAAGAACTATCTGACTAATCACAGGAATCCTGTATTGTAGGGGTAGGAACTACTCAAACGATGGTGAGACTACTAATGCCATTATACCTCTAAGAATCATGCCTGTGGCTGTCAGAATCTTGCAATGCCTTATGGGATTTGTAGTTTCATCACAGCTGGTAGGCCGAAGTTGACTTGACCTGGATTAGAACCATACCTTCCAACTGCCCCTCATTTGAAACCAAATCCCTCTGCCCCCCTTTCCTCCTCAGTTGTCCCTCCTTTTGGTCCGATTTACAGATATTTATGATAAAGTTCTACCGAAAGTCTAATCCTGCAGTAAAGTATTTATCTTATCTACTAATTATCTCGTCTGCTATATTTTTTTATAAGATATTGCAGTGATATGATTAGGGTTGCCACCTGTACAGTATTCACCCGGACAGTTCGGGTTTTGAATGCTGTGTTCGGGTTTCATGGCAGCAGAAACCCGGACACAAGATGTCAGGCAGACAGGGGCAACCAAAATTAAGATAGGGGCTACTGCCCCCCCCCCCCCACACTAAAAATAGCCTGAACTGTGATATTTACATATGAATGGGCGGCGCTATTTACATATGAATAAGCTGCGACTCATTCCCTCCAAAAAATGTCCGCGCGTCGCTTGAGTGTTCGGGTTTCGCTTGAAGAAAAGGTGGCAACCCTAGATATGATGAAGAGGACCGATTAGGCTAAATGAGTTATAGTACGGTGTAAAAGACACAGGCCATAGGTCGATTATAGAGGGGAAATCTTCCAACGAAATCTTCCAATGAGTACATCTGTCTAAGAGGGCATTTCCTTTCCCTAGGAGAGATTCCTGATTTGTCAACCACACAGAAAACCAGAGCAAATCTCCCCAGTGGGACACAGTTGTCAAAAAAGGATCTTCAGGTAATAAACTTTCCAACGGATTCACAAAAATTTTTTTTTGTTTATGCCAAACATATTGAAAAATAGATTTGGTGGAGGTAAAAGGTAAATCCCTATGGGGACACTTGTTCTGTTGGCAGCTGTCTAAGGCCCGGTTCACACTTTGATGTTTTCTGAAGGCATGCCTAATGCATGCTTGCACGTTTATGCAGCACATCAAAAACGTGCATGGTGCTTGCATTGCTATTACTTGTTAATGCACCCCAAACATGGCCGGTAAAATACGCATGGTCAAACACATGATCAAAAAAACGCAGCAAGCTCACAGCTGAAAATGCACACGTGCTGCAGCCCATTGAAATGAATAGGCTGACACACAACAACCAGCAACTTCTTTAAACATTCCCTACTCCAACCAAAATTGAAAAATAATACGTTTTGCCTTTGGATACATTTAAGGGCTCAATCTCATGCACGCAAACACAGGTGTATGGGCATACAGCTGAAAATATCTGCCTGTATTTACAATGCCCCTGTTTTACCCACATTTCCAGCGATCCTACACCATTCCTGCCTCCACTGTTGCCGAATAGAAAGCAAAGTACATCCTGGTACAGGTGAACAAGAGTTCTCCTCCTATAGATAGTGCACGGGTCTAGCAGCATAGCATTGGGCCCAAGCACTGTCACATGATGGAGGGGTGACTTCGTGAAGCCCCCGACACAAGCTACACATTGAATCCCAATTCTGGTTACAGCAGAGGAGGGAGTGGAGCTGGATCACTGTTGATGTGTGTGAAAACAGAGCAGACGGGGACCTTAGAAGCACTTAAAAGGCAAAGTGACAGTACCTCTTTAACATGACAGCCCCAGAGCCTACATTTCTAAAACTCAAGCCAGCAATGCCAGCTTTGTGGCATTACAGGTTCATTTTTTCTGTCCAACTCTAGATCAAATTTGTATTACTTATGGATAGAGTATGGTTAGAACGTCTGCCAATATTTCATTGCTGTTTGTGCTCCCCTTTGGAAAATGTCTTCTTAGACCCTGTCTATTTAACAGGAAGTGGGTTAAACAGAACAGGAAATCAGAACCCCCCCCCTTTTTGTCTATTTGACACAGAAAGTAATACAAACAAAACTTTGTATCACTGTGTAGAAGGTTATTGCCTTCATGCCTCCCCAGTCTAAGCATTCAAAGTGTGATCTCTGTCATTTACAGTTGTGGTGAGATGGAAGTAACTGACAATCTCAGTGAGTTGGCAGACAGTGACTCAATCTAGATGACACAGTGAGGATTGTTAAGAAGTTTAATACAAACTGTGCAGATCTTTACAACAGTGGATAGGTTAAAAGATCATAATGCAGACATCGCAACTCTCCCGGATGTTCCAAGAGTCTCCCTCTATTAGAAAGCGGCTCCCGGACATCCGGGAGAGAAACATTTTCTCCCGGAAAGGTTTACTCTGCTCGATCTAGCAGAGTAAACCTTTCCCTGCTCTGTTTTTTTTTTCTGACATCGGGGCCGCCGGCCAGAGAAAAAAAAACCGGCATAGGAATGAATAGCTGGATTGCTATTGGCTATTTCAATTTGCAATAGCAGACTAGCTATTGCACCTGCCCACTGCTGCTGTCAATCAGCAGAGGAGGACCTGGAGTTCTCAGGTCCTCTGCTGCTGACTGACAGCAGCAGAGGGCTGGTGCAATAGCCAGCTTGCTATTGGCTATTGCAAATTGAAATAGCCAATAGCAGCCTAGCTATTTATTCCTATGGTTTTTTTGTATTCTGACAGCAGCAGCTGTCAGAATACTAAGAAAAAAAAATGGCAGATAGCAAGGGAAGCCTTAGCTTCTTTGATATCTGCCATCATTTCAGGGGTGTGCTCTCTTCCTTGGCATACCTGATAATGTGATCCACATAGCAAAGGACATGTGGTTGAGATGCAGAGTAGAACATAATGAAGAAGGGTGGTGCTCTCTACACATAGGAAAACTGAACTATGGGGAGGGGTGGAGACAAATAACAGAGACAGATAAAGCAAATTAAATTTAAAGGCATATCACAAAGCATGTGTAACATGACAATTGCTGTCTGTGACATCATGAGGGAGAATCCCCTGACTTCCTGTCTAGGTGGTAGGTGTCAGAAAGAACAGGAAGAGAAAATAAATCCCCTCCATGGAAACAGATACCATAGACAATATCACAGAATATAAATCTCCTTAGCAGGAATACAAAGAGCATTTAAAACCTGAAAGAAGTTGTAATCCTTCCCCGCTCCATCCAAAACTAAACAAAAACATTTTGTCTGGAGCTGGGCTGACAACAAAGCCTGGCTATATGTGGTACAATGAGGTCGTACAGCACGCACAGCTGTGCAGAGACCTGGTGCTGTGTGTAGCTGCATTCAGCTGCCTATACATCTCTATGACAGAATGCTACTGCATGCGACTTTATGCCAATCCGAACTGGCACATCAGTACTGCTATAGATGCACACCATTGGATGCAGGCAGTCTCCCTCCAAGAGCATGCATCTGTACCTGTACGCATGTGCCGTTTTGTGTTGGCATGTAGCCGTGTCATCATCATGTTTAGGCTCTTCGTTCCTCCTTTTCCTTGAACCCTATGACGTGTTGCTATGGCCTGGCTGAGTTCCTCCTTTTCCTAGAACCCTATGATGTGTTGTAATGGCCTAGCCAAGTTCCTTCTTTTCCCTGAACCCTATGAAATGTGGTGATGGCCTATCTGAGTTCCTCCTTTTCCTAGAACTCTATGATGTGTTGTGATGGCCTAGCCGAGTTCCTCCTTTTCCTAGAACCCTATGATGTGTTGTGATGGCCTAGCCGAGTTCCTCCTTTTCCTAGAACCCTATGATGTTTTTGTGATGGCCTAGCCGAGATCCTTCATTTCCTTGAACTCTATGATGTGTTGTAATGGGCTTGCTGAGTTCCTCCCTTTCCTTAAACCCTATGATGTGTTGTGATGGCCTAGCTGAGTTCCTCCTTTTCCTTGAACCCTATGATGTGTTGTGATGGCCAAGCCGAGATCCTTCAATACCCTGAACCTTTGGTTTGTTGTGATGGCCTAGCTGAGTAATTTTGTTTATGTGGAGTTGTGGCTAGTTTGTATTAGTAGCTCTTTTAATGAATGTATTATTATGTGTATATACAGATCTTTATAGGATTAAATGCTTACAGATTACCGTGCATTAGAAACATGTACATGTCTAAGTATTTAATCCCTAGAGGAACGTTGCAGTTCTTTCTGCCTAATATATTTGGTTTGTTTCTCTTTATATGAACAGTTAGGGCTCATTCACACAGGCGCAAGGGTCCATGTACTATAGAAAATAGCCAGATATCTGCGCCCAGTAGTCATAGGTGTTGTGTATAGCCCGCCTGTACAAATCAATGACGATCAATGGCAGCTGTAGCTGGTAAATGCTTAGTAAACTTGCATACAGGTAAAGATATACGTTCCTGGACGTACATCCCTAACCAAAAGAGAAATGCTCAATGTAGAGGTGTATGATGCAGCCCCAACAGTATGATTTGATCCATATTTAGGGGTTCTTCAAAACAAGTACCTGTTTTTAGGGTCACTAATATTTTGCATGTTATAGGTGTATTTTTTTTACCACACTACCACTTGGTTTTTCATCATCCCTACTTCCTACTTACTCAAATTAATTTGATGCCATCCCATTGCATGCTGTCATTGGATAGAGTAGAATCACCCCCTTAAGATCTCTCCTTCTATAGCAGCATGGCTCTAACTGCAGACAATGACGATAATGGCATTCTTTGGCAGTCAGCAGGCCTGCCAGAGAAGGCAACTGGAGATCTGGTAATCATCCTGATTAGCCGCCAACTGCAGCAAGGTCCCAGGTATGTTTATATCTTTGGACTTACAGATATTTTGCAAAGGGTGCCTCTTATTCTGTATTTCTATATGTTCAATTAGAATTGCCTACAGTTACTAAACCTCCAGACTTAAGCTGGCCATACACAGATCACATTTTGTCCATTTCCTAATGAAGTGGCCAAATTTTGACCCATAGGTGGCCCGGTCAGCACAACCTGGAACTGGGTAGAAAATTGGCAGCCGAATAGTGACTGCAGCCAATCAGCTCTGCGGGTATTGCAGGCACCTGCTGTCAGAATCCAATATGCATTAGGGAAGATTCTTCCATCCATGCTAATTAACGTGTAGGACCAAGTAGTTTTGAGCTCTTAAACGGTTTTACACTAATGAATCCAGATCAAGCAAATATAAATTACCCAGCTAAGATTTTTTCTCAAATGTTTGCCCGATCATTTGCAGTCATCATGTTTCCAAACGGTTGACTCCAACTCTCTCAATCAGATTTCCTGAACTTCCTGTTCAGTACAAGATCACAAGGGACAGCACAGTCTTCAGCAGCTGCCCATCTACTAGCTTAACGGAGGAAGGAGGTTCTAGGAGCAGGAGAGTGACTTGCCTTGCTGAATCTGTTTGTGGAGACACACACAGCTTGCTAGCACACACAAGGTTGGCTTGGACCACTCTGAAAGGGAAAGAAGCCATCATAAAACAAGATATCAGGGCCAGTGCTCAATGGACCAGCTTTTAAATATCAAGAAGGCAGCATCAATTGGAAGTGATTTCATCAGCATTTGTAAAAAGTCAAACCAAGAGTTCACTTGAACCACTAAGATTGCCAAAAACCAATCAGCTCACCCATCTGGCCTAAAGAAGAACTCCGGTCCTCTGCTCCAGCGGTGGAATGTCCCTCAAAGTCCTGTACACTGTATAGGACACGATTACTCACAGGACCCAAGACCGCTGTAGCGGAGGGGTAGGTTCGGGTGAGCATATCTCTGCTATTTTAGCACTTGACCCTTGCACTGCGGGGATAGCACCACTGCACTGGTTAAGATTTTATTTGTTCTTGTTTAATCCAGTCCCCTGTGTTAAGGGAGTGCATGATCTTTGTGCACCATCACAAAACTGAATACATTAGCGCTCATTATTTTAAAGTACAGCTTTTAAAAGGATGAAATAGATGAACTTCTAATCGTATTATCTGGGGATGTCCTGATCATTTTTGGAACACTTAGACTGAGACTTCAGCGAAAGATCAGGAGATATGGCGCAAAGGTTTGCACCCTACACTTGCACTCTGCAGACCTATTATTGACTGTTATCCCAACTGAACAGGCGGTTGTCTTTCTTTGCAATCTGCTCCTTCGCTTTTTAAACTGATCCCTGATGGCACAACAATAGGAGGCAATGCCCACATGTTGCGCCATCATCTCCAATCAGGTTAGATCAGCTGACGCCTGTAATAACCAGTCACTGCTGACATATTGATGAAACAATGACAATGTTTGTAAAAGTAAGTAGTGCAGATATGTTCATTTAAATCACATTTGTGTTTCTAAAGATTTCCGATTCCATCTTCCTCCAGGCTAGACAAGCTTACATCTAGGCTGTCATTTCTAGGAATTCCTGTAGGTGGGGGTGTTGCATTTTTTCCACCCCAAGGCTGAGGTCATCCACACAGTAAATGTAGTTTACATAATTTTGAACGATATCCTCTTTAATGTCCTGTTTTCAATTAGCGGAAATGAAAAACACTTTAATTAAGGTAAAGTAACTGCATGTTTCTAGAAACCTCAGACTGTCTGCATGTGAAAAGGGCAAGGAGGTTTATCAAAACAAACTAGACAGCTTCATCTATTCACACATTTCTTTTTCTGAGGCATGCCAGAATTTACATTCAGTTTTGATTGATCTTAGAGTACTAAAAATAGTTTATTGGTAAAATTTCTTTTGAACCATCTGAATTTTCAGTATTTTACCAATTAAAGGAGAACTATGGGGTTAAGGCTTTTCCCCATAGTTCTCCTTAGGGTAATGGGAGGACACAAACTAGCGTCCTCCTGTCACCCTAAGCTCAGTATACTGAGACGCCACAGTATACTGCGAGCTACTGCTCGCGGTATACTGAGACGCGGCAGCTGAAGCGGATCCCGACAATTATGCCGGATCCGCCCAGCTGCATGAGTGACAGCTGGCTCTGCCTATCTAGAGGCAGAGCCAGCTGTACCCGCCCCCTCCCCCGTCCGATCCGCCAGTCAGCGCTGGCGGAGCGGGGAGGGGGGAATCCAGCCCCTCCCCTGTCACGGCAGAGAGCTGTGACAGGATCGAGAGGTGAGCGAACGTCCCGATCTACTGAGCCGACCTGTGACAGTCTCATTGTCACAGGTCGGCTAGAACTATGAGGTGAGTGAAAAGCACTCACCTCATAGTTCTCCTTTAAGCTTCTGCAAAGCGGCCTTGTGGTCACTTCAAAATGCAATACCAGTTGATACTGAAAGCAGATTTTTTTAGAAGGACATATATACATGTTTATGGACCTTGTAGGGAGCCCTGTTTATGGACCTTGTAGGGAGAAACTTTATTGGTTGTTAACCTGGGGACACTTGGGACCAGGGCTGGTGCAAGGATTTTTGTATTGCTGCCTACACAGGCAAAGGTGGATTTTTTGCAATCCCCTTGGGCGCCTCTTAGTTGGCTGCCTTTATATCCTTATTGCTGGCACTAGCATGGACCACATTGGTAGGATGTAACATGGTCAAATTGCAACCCCCACCTCCCCCCTTACCTGAATCCAGGGGCGGACTGGGCCGGGGGGCAGGATGGCAATTGCCCGCCGGGCCTCTCTGATGCCATCGCAAACAGCCCCTTGGTCCCTGCTGCCACCTGCACCCGGCTGCCCTCCGCATCCGACGCGGCTCTGTGATCGGTGCGGCCGCTGCTCGTCAAGGAGGTGCTCAGGAGGCCCCAGCAGGGGGCCCTCTAACATGCCACGTCTACCTGGTCCAGCCAGCCCGGATCGCCTCGGTATGCGATCCGGGCTGGCTGGATCAGGCAGACGCGGCCCTGTAATCAGGTGCTGTAGAGGGCAGTCCGTTGGGGCCTTCTGAGGACCCCCTTGAGGACCGAGCGGCCGCCGATTGCAGGCCGGCCGGGTGGAGGTGACAAACAGGCGGCAGAGGGAGAGAGCCACTGCAGCTGCGGCCACAGCAGACATGCTGGATGCTGCTTTGTGTCAGAGGGGGCACAGAGCAGTTACCAGCGGGGAGGAGAGAAACTATGGATGCACCAAATTTTCGGGCAAAAAAATTGTACTTTCGGCATTTTGCCCGAAGTACCATTTTCAGCCAATATGTTTTGGTGCATCCTTACTGTAAGGCTTTCAAAGCTGTCCTTTTTTCACTGTTACTGTCACTGTTTTTTATAGTTACTGCTTTTAGAAACACATACAGGGCTATTCACAAAAGGGTGAAGAGGTTGGAGAAGGCAGGAGAAGTGAACAATCGAGGACAACGCAAATGGAAAAATTCTCCAATTCATATCACTTTGCAGTTCAGCTATGTTGTCCTAAACTGTTATCTTTTCCTGCTTTCCCCAAACTTTGCACCCTTTTGTGAATAACCCTGATTTTTTTTGGGGGGTTAGTAATCTTCACGCCTAAAATGTGCATTTTAACATGTGTACAGAAAATGTAAAATGGCTCCAACAGTGAAAGGTTTAGAGCCCAACCTACATGATTTCTTTTCTTTCCCCTTCCTCTACTTCACGTTCTCCTCTGCTGCTGACACCCAGCATCATTCAACCACTTCCTGTGAGCCCATTCTGTCAGTGTCACCCCCCTGGAGGTCCATTATCTTGCAGCCTTGTCACATGGTGGTATTCTGCATAGAAAAGCTCTCAGACGTCACGTTCTACATGTTTTCGGCTCCCATATTTTCATGAGGGTAATTCATGTAAGAATTTGTAGATATTGTTTCTGTTTTTTATCTGTATATCTGACTGTGAGATTATGACAAATGAACATTAAAGCACAATCACTCTGCAGCAATGCCAGTTCTTATTACATACACCTCATTAGCACACATCAGTAAGCTGTTCACATACATTCTCATAAGTTCTCATACATAAAGATTATTTCAGATAAAAGGTAATTTAACTTAAAATACATCTTAATATTTTTAGCCTATTGTATGAGCATTCTATATAACTGTCAGTGCGGTTCATTTTCACAGTATGGTAATAAGCTTATCTTTGTTCTCCATCTTATTGCTAAATTGCAGCACGTTTTGGCTGCAGTATTAATTCTAATTACTGAAAATGGAAAGTCAGAACAGTATTTAATCACACTGGCATTCATCATGACAGGTATGCCGTTAATTAAACAATATGCATTATGTACTTCTAAAAACGTGGACTATACTGTAATGGATTTTATTACTAAGAATTCTGATGTGTGATGGCAGTTGCCATGCCAGCATGCATTTGAGCTATTTGCTTTGGGGCTGATGTATGTACAGATATTCTGCCTGTAGTTTTGCATAGGGGCCCCAGAGGATGAGAATATATTTGCAGGCAGGTTTTCAGCATAGTTAGTAGAGAACAATGGCTAAGGGGGTAGGTTTGCCAGGGAAAGAACAAGCCACCCACATATCATGTTGCTCACTTTCAGATAAACATTCCCATGAACATAAACATTCAAAACATTTTCAAGCTATTTCAAATGGTGATTATATCACCAACAATGGATGCTGCTCCTTGATGTTTAAAAGTTGTAGTTTCCTGCAGAATCAGCTGGTCCCCTGAGCACTGACCCTGATATCCTGCTTTAGGGTGGCTCCTTTCCCTTGCAGGGTCCTATGGAGCCACCTTTGTGGGTGCTAATAAGCTGTGTGTGTCTCCACAAACACTCAGATAAAGCAAGGCAAGCCACTGCCCTGCTCCTCCCTTCTCCAAGTTAGCAGATGGTCAGCTGCTGGAGATTGCTTTGTCTCTTGTGATCATGTACTAGACAAGACGTTCAGGGAAGCTGATCAGAGAGAGTTGGGGCAAGCTGTTTGGATAAATGATGATAATAAATGCTTGGGCAAAGAAATACTTTCCTGGGTGATGTATATTTGTTTTATCTGCATTCATTATGGAAAAAAAGTTTGAGAGTTGAATTCCCCTTGCAGTGGGGCCCCCTGCACTGCAAGGGTTAAATGCTCATTAGGTCTAGGGGTAGAGGAATTGGCTGTAAAACTTACCTAAAACTGGTCATACACTGGTCAAACTTGGGCCAAGGCATGCTGGCTCCCACGGGGCTGAATGAGGAAAAAAGATCAGTGTATGGCCAACCGTATTCCTGACTTTAGCAAGCTTCCACCATGTTGTGCAACTGGTCCCCCAGGAGAGGGGAATGGAATGGGGAGGAGGGCACTGCAAGGGTTTTTTTTTTTTTACAAATCCCAGAGTTCAGTTTTGAAGCTCAACAGCAGCCATTTTTGGGGGGAATAGAGCAGGGGAGGGTAAGAACCTCTGGCACATTTTGATTTGTTGGCTGTTCCCTATTAGGGAGATTTCCCCTCAATTCTTGACAGGACAGAAAGTGATGGAATGTCTCTCTGATAAGGACATCAACACATTGTTAGTAGAGCGATAAAAAATTAGAACTTTTGACAATGTTTTTATTGCTGTCTTTGCTTTCTTTCTACAGTGACTCCTGCACCATCATGTGCTGGCAGGTCCCAAATGGGGGTCACAGGCAGAAATGTAAAAAAAAAACTGCCGGAACTAAAAACCAAAACTAAAAAAACGGCATTGTGATTGGGTTTTAATTACCTATTTTCAGTTCTTACTTCTAGGTGTACTGACGCAAAATGGAAAAACTGTTTCTGCCTTGGCAGGCCTTTGGTGGTTATGATGTCTGCTCTTGTGATACAAAGGCTAGCCATTCCACTAGGATAGGAGCATAATTTTCTCATCAGATGTCCCTGTTTGGTCTATAGACCTCTATAAAAAAATACTAGTTAAGTACCAAATTGTTATTCTACACTAGACCTTCCCTCCAACCTCTAAATGTTTGTATTTGTTAATTCAGAATGGAGTATAAAGGAAAGGTAGTGGTAAGATAAGTACTTGTTGGTTTTACCAAGCCTTTTTGATGTATCAATTCCTTGTGGCTGGCTTAACAGGAGGCATGGCATGGTGTGTTCTTTGCCTACCTACCGTGTGCTAAAAGGTGTCCCTCTTTTTCAGAAAGTTAGGCGGTACGTAGGTGAAACCGCAGAAGCACAAGGCAGTTGTAGGGGGACAGTAAGTATAAACCTGCCCCTGCCACCATCAGTGAAACACAAGGAACTATGGTTGTATCATGTACCTGGAAGAGATCAAGCTAAAGAGGGGGCTTCTCTAACACCTCTTGTCCAACACCCCTAGAAGTTGTGACAGGCAATGTGCAGAAGCAGATTGGCAAGTGGGCCAATGTTGCAGGCAATACCAGCTGTTGGTTGTGTGGGTCGGAGGACTGTAGTCCACAGGGTAGGAGTCAAATACAGTAGTACCTGAGCAAGAGGCAGACGCATATCCAGGGCACGAGCCAAAGGGTGATAACAGCTGACCAGCAAGGTATTGAATCAGAGGGCAGAGACAATGTCAGTATAAAAGCTGAGGTCAGCAACAGCCTGGTTGCAGGAAACAGGAAGAAGTCAAAAACACAGGCCAAACAAGATCCAGAAACAGGTCAGAGAGCAATACGGATCATACACCGGAAGGTGGAAGCTGCAGGTCTAGTCGCAGGTCAAGAGGTACTAAAGACCATGAATCTGTCCATGTCAAACTTCAGCTTATATAGGCCATTTGGCATCTGACCCACACATGCT